ACTAATATACGACATCCACCAGTTGAAAGCAAAGCTTCCAACATGTTCTGTCCATCGAGTTCTACTGTTCACTTTAGTCATTGTGGCACTTTACACTGCTAATATATGCACATTTAATGAATTCGACAAGTTGACTGTGAAAACGATCTGTGTATTTGTGTACATGTAAGTCTATATTTGTATTTTTTAGGCTAAATCCTGGATCTTCTTTCAAATGCAAGAAACAGTTTTGTCTCAGTTTTCCACTTTAACAAACCGGCCAAAATTTCTGTGAGAACCACTCATTCGAATTATAAACAACTGGATCTATCTTTTAAACAAAAATTTTGGTCCGGTTTTTGAATAGTTTATAACCAGAAGGTTATAAATGTTGGTCTCAAAACTGTAGTAATATTCAGCCCGTTGCATTTTGGGACACTACGCCTTGGAGCTTTACAAATAACAATTCTCAGTACTGATGCTTGGGGGCCAACAGGAAAACCACCTGCATTTCGATGCCAAGAAATGCATTTTTCGGCTGTCATGATCTGGAAAGATCCTCCTTTACCGTTAGGGAAAGCCGCAGATATGCATATATTCGTGACGGGTTTAAAACAGTGATAGCCGAAATGTTGAGGTGAAGAACGAAGCTCCAACAATGACTGCCGAAGTGGTCACCAGGAACGTTGCACTAACAATGGTACATGTATAAGCAGCTACGGTAAGGCAGTACTGAGCTACTTCGGGCTCGTTACGCTCTTTACCTTCGTTCTGGCTTTGCATTTGAGATCCTGAAATACCGCAATTTCATTATGAACTATGAAAGATTCAAAAACTGAGTCTAATTTTTGAAAAAGACAAGTTGAAATAATGAAAAGGCAGTATTTTTTAAGTAAAACTGAGTTAACAGTCTGGAGTCAAGAAGCTGTTTTTTGACGCGGCAAAGTGTGCTTAGAAGCAAGCTGATGGCAGTTTTGACTCTCTAGCATGCACCAGTACCAATTTACCACCAAAAAGTGTTGTGCGGAAGCATATAATTTATTAGCCATGATTCATTAATCTTAAATATGATAATTCACTGTTATTAGCAAAGAGCCATGGATCCTTCGTTTCAGAAATACTTGATAAGTACAGTAAATCTCATCTTTCTATTTTTGCCTTACTCCTTTCGCTGTACATAGTTATACCATTTGTTATATTTTTTTGCTTATCACTAATTTATTACTGCTTATCAACTATCAGAAACTATCTTAATGAATTATTACTGCAATAAATGCATTGGTACCAATCTTCTGCTAAAAATACTACACACTGCACTGGTACGGGGATTCGCAGTAACAAACCCATTCTCTCATGTATTTGAGGGCAAAATCAACACCCAAGCCATTTACTGATAAATTCTTGTAATTTTTTGCATCTCAAATAGGAGGTTAGGCAAAAAATTAAGATCTAACCGTTGCTAGATGAATGAGAATGATAGAAAAATACCGTAATCGATGCCGTCGAAGTCAGCAATTCTGATCGTTGGCGTGTGAATGACCATGTGCTGCTCGCTACTGTTGTGTTGGAGTTCGCGGCGCCTTCTTGCCACGCTCCCACACTTTGGTGGCTTGAAAATAGTCTTATTTGTGGATATACGCTAGAAGTGTAATTAGCATGCCTGGACGACTCGTCATGGGAGGGTGTGACAGATTGCTTCTTAACCAGGAAATTCGTTCAAATTATATATTTATGGTTTAATAGACCGAAACGTCTTATCTCTTCATTTTGCTCTGAAAACTCTTAGCTCCCGCCCATCTATATCCCTTTTATTTTTTTATAACTTTGCTCTAGCGTCCCAGCGTGCAATAAAACAGAGCTGCTTCGAACTTCTGTTTCCAACTGATTAACATGAAAATATTCTTTTGAAATTGGCAAAACAATGTTTTCTGTTATGTTATCGTAATACCTCAAGTCTTTTTTGATGTCAGGATTTTACAGGTCACCTAAAAATCCTCCCGAGGAACTCAAGAACTTGGGTCACGGGCACTCGATCTTTTCATACGGAGTTTTAGACAGACTGTCGTGTTTTACCAGTAAAAAAGGCTTACTGTGATAGCTTGACAGTCTTGATTGCTTCGAAGGCAAATAGCAACATCGCATTGGAAGCCGATATTCGTTCGGTCAGGAAATTTGAAAACCGGTGCTTGCGTTTTTGCTGAGAGCAGATCCGATGCGTATTGCAAATTTGGTAAAATGTATGAATCCGTTGTGCACCTTAAATTCAGTTCACAACGACATCGTCCTTAATAAGCAATTTTTAAGTAAAATTGATTTTTTTGGACTGGAATTCAAAAACTCCAAAAACTTGTTCATCACGGACTTCATATCAAAAAAAGACGTTGCTGGCAAATTTGTAGGCAACAAATTTTGCGTGCTTTTGAGGTTTTAAGCAGTTTCAGATTTGACAAGGCATTGTAATGTTTCAAGTTTGAAGTGAAGAGTACTTGCAGCGTAGAAAAGATGAAGTGAAGAACAGTTGCTTTTTATTTTTCGTGAAACGTAAAATTCATTTGCTGTCTTTTTCTCTAAGAATCGTAGTATTTGAACGATTTTGTTTACTGAATTATTTGCTAATAATCAGTTTTTCAATTTTCATTGTTAAGAATTTACCCAAATTTAAGAAAATGCCGTGTTTTGGAATGCCAAAAAGCACTAAAGATCTTGATTATGTGACTACTGCATTAGTGAGTTTCAAAAATTGTGTCTTAAAAAGTAATTATAGGAAATACCCGTTTTGATCGATAACTGCTGCTTTAAGAGCGTTGCCTGATTCCGCGTAACAGTTTTTTATCAGCATAGCATGCACTCCTGTAAAAAAAATTTGACAAACAAAGACATAACAACTGTTGGCTCTCCTACTATTTCTTGCATGTTTCTCCTGCCTTCGCACTCAAGTAGCATTTTCAAGGGTATGCCAAAAACGCGCAAAAGTGACCTGGCAACTGGCCAGGACAGCTCCATTGATGTTGAACGAGTTCGCCAACTCGAGCATTTCTTATCGCTTGCCCCGCACTGTTTTTCACCGCATAAAAACACTTCGGTGGTTCAACTTTTGAATCAATCTGTTTCGCTGGCGGCATACTAAAAACTTCATTAATTCAGCAGAACATTAGCGAGAATACAGTCTTATTGAAAAAGAAATGTGTTGTTTTCAATACAATTTTTAAATTCTGATTTGATTCGGAAAATTTCCTTTCATTATTTTCCTTGAGGCGGAACACACTGACTAATGGCTCATCTTGGTGGTATGTCAAACGAGTTTACCTGACATTCAGATCTGCATCGAGCATTTTGCTGCCTTCCATGTAGACGCACTGGATTC